GCTAATTTCTAATTATAGGACCTGCTTGGGAGGATATATAGTTGCGACTTTTGCAGTACTAGTCTAAATGTAGTAAATATCTAATATATTGGATTCATATATATAAAAGAGTGAACAAAGAAAATCATGCAACTGTAAATGAATTAAAACCCATATCATAATTTTTAGTACTCATTTTGATTGTTATGCTAACAGTCTTTTAGCCCTTATACTCATCAACTTTCATGCCCTTAATTAAATCTACACTTGTTCTCACTCTGCTTTCCTTGCTTGAGGGATATCAAATCCATCTTTGAGCTACTCAAGGTAGAGGATTACATACTAGGAGGCACAGTTTGTGAATATGTGGGGAAGATAATGGTCAACCCTAGACATAGAAGGCTAAAAGATTGTAGTGATTGGAGGGGGGGGGAGAGAAAGACACTTCTTGGGAGTTGGTTCCACACAGCAGCAGAAACTTCCATAGAAAAGAGTATAAGACTATTTTCTGCACTACCTAACACAAGAATTTAACTTAAAACATATCAGACTCCCTGCTAGTTCTAACTAAAATTTTCATCTGCTAAGTTATCCTGGAAAGTGTGAATGTAAAACAATTATACTGATAGCAGGGCGCCTGCTGAAGAGCAAGCTTAATTACTTTCACAGATCACTCATTCAGTCTTCACTGGATGACCATTATCGTAACCACAGGGTCAAACTTAGTAAATGTCAACAAAGGTTATACAGATAATTATTTCAATACTGCTTTTGGCTTATCAACTAATTGAAATTCTAATTTCAGTTATTAAGTGTAAAAATCTGGGATGAAATAGGTACATATTTTCCAAATGTTGATTTTTGAGGCATGTAGGATAAGACACTATTCTCTTGGTCTAGTCTCTACATCTTCCAGCTATTCTCCATCAAAGTCTTAGATTTTTGATCTGGAAAAGTTTCTTAGTTGAGCTAATTGAAATGTTTGCAAAGTTAAATGTTCTTGGTCACAAAAATAAAAACATCTGTTTAAAAATATAAAAACACATGCTTTATTCAATCAAGGCTATAATATTGAATTAAGACCATCCCCAGTTAAGTATTCTTAAGCTTATGTTAACAAGGTGCCTAATAACATTCTCAGTGCTTTAGTAAAGATATATTCAGATGTCTCATACAGAAGAAACTTCAACTGGAAGAAAAAGGAAAAGAAAATTCTTTCGGGATATGTCAAAAATGGGATTTTTTAAAAAAATTGGACGAAGCTCCAAATTCAAATTCTGATAATGGTGAAAATATGAAGGACGATGAAAGACTTGGACTCAGTAGAGAAAGCTATTGATGATGTTCATGGAGAAAAAAATCTGTTCAGTAGTACTGAATGTACAAGTGCATGTAATTTGCAGAAATGCCTTACTTTAAAAAGATAGAACAGTGAAAAGTAAGTGAAATGAGAAAAGAAATTACAATTGAAAATGAAAATTATTGAGCATTAAACATTGCAAATATGTACTTCTTGAAACATTTAAATTTTTCATATATTGTGATAAGTTATAGTTATATTACACATGCCACATTATATCCAAAATATTTTGAAGTTTGGATATGAGAACTGTGTGTGTGTCTCTCTCTAGTGGAAATATAGATATAGTCCCATAATCCTATTAAAATTGTTTGGCTTCTCCTGAACTTTTGTTCATCTTATTCTGAGGAACATTTAAGGACCAGGACTTCTCATCAGATGACATACTGACCACTTTGGTGGGGGGGGGGGTTATCAAAATTTCATGTTTCATGTTTTGGATTTTACAAAATCCTATCTTTCACCCTTACATTCCAAATGAAAAAAAAAAAAAACAAACAAACAAACAGAAAAACATTTTCTAGCATATGTTTTAAGGGTGTGTTTCTTGTTTTTGATAATCAACAAAACATACATTAAAGAGAGATTACTGCTCAAATCCACATCCGGAGCCTTCTCACTCCTGCTGGAGGAACCCCATCTTCAACTGTACTCATCATGCTTGGCCAATTGTGGGTTAGTGAGGCTATTTAACCCATTTGAATTTAGAGTTGTCTTCCTAGATCGATTGGGTCCTATATCCTTGTGTGATAGTCTATCCTATTATTTACCAATAACTTTGCACATAAGTGAATGTAAAAACGATTCAATTTGAGCCACTATTCATTACTGTGCCCAAATATACAATATATTTCAATTTTTTTTTTGTTGAGATAGCTTAATGAACTGACTGTTGACTGTATAACATGCATACTTGTAAAATCTTCCTTACTTCTAAAATTGGCATAGCACAATCTTGCATGCATCTTACATCAATAATTTTCTTACCTCAGTAAGTCATTGTATTTTTTAAACTTACAGAATTATGTAATATCAATCCTATATGGTAGTAAATGCTGGACATTTTCACAAATGAATAAGAGACTTGAGGCAACAGAGATGTAATTCTACAGAAGAATGCTGAGGGCACCATGGACAGAACATGGTAAGCAAAGGAAAACTTTTAAGGAAAATGGAAAAAAAAGAACAATTATACTTAGAATCAGAGAGCTGAAATATCTAAAATACACGAGGAAAGAAGGCTCAGAAAATTTGACACTCACAGAACATGAAGGATAGAGAGAGCAGGGAAACAGCAAATAGCCTACATAAAGAGTTTATGCAAATGGAGAGATCAATAGTAAAAAGACAAAACATTGCTAAGAATTACAAAAGATAGAAAGTTGTGAGGAGTTGTGATTGTTTGTGCCCTGAAGGGATACAGTGCATAAAAGAATTCCTAATTTTTGTATTTGGTACTGATATTCAAAACTTTTATTTTAGCGCACCATTTTACTTACAATTATTGCCATAGTCAGTACATTATTTAAACAAATTAGCCATAAATAATTAAGTGCCCTTTTATAGAATCCTGTCCCTTGTATGATTGCCAACTAACCCTTTATATATTTACATAAATAGTGAAGTAATCATTCTAATAATTTGTTGTTTGTATTTTCAAGCTTAAACTACAATTTCCCAGTTACTGTATTTATATTCTTTACCAGGAAATTAACCATCAACTTACTACCGCACCTTCACTTTACAAATACACCAAGTTATAAGAGTAAAGTCCACTTTCTGCAGGAGTGTAAATTTATGCATGCACACACAAGCATAATGCAGTTTGAAAGTTCACAACAGGACCAAACTGCATCCCCACTAATGGTTAAACCGAAATTTTTCCAACCACATACACAAATGTAACCTACAATAATCAAAAAGAATTTCTGGTTGTTGAAATAATTTTTACTGATGCATTTGCATTAACACAAACTGATCCTTTATCACATACTTCTGAGATGACCAATATTTTTCTATTGAGAATTTCACATTCCAAGTACATATTATATAAATGCTTATCAAAGAAAGCATTAAAGCATAAAGACAAAGAAAGAAAGTAAAACAAAATGCACAGAGCCATTGTATGCTTTTATTGGCCACATATCATTATTCAACAGATTTGTAGATCTGTGTGACTGTCCATCAATATTGCTTGCAACAACCTTTAAAAATAAAGGTGTTTTATGGAGAGAGAAAAAGATGTGGGTTCCCTCACAGCGAGCAAAGTTTAAATACTGGGGGGAAAAAAAAAAAAAGAAAAAAAAAAGGCTGTCGATTGCCCAAGGTGGGAAGAGAATGAAGGTGGCTGGAGAGGAGGAAAAGGGAAAAAAGAGGAGGGGATATTCCCGCCACCCACTCCACCACACCCCCTCCCCAATAATCCATTAAAATCAGTTTTTTTTTTTTAAACCTGTATTTGGTATTGCTTTTTCACCCCCCCTCCCCACAATGTGTGAAGTTTTTTTCCTCTTTCAGAAATTAAGACAATCTCCCCTCCACACCAGGCCAGCCGGAGAGGGAGGAGGGTAAAAACTGGCCAAGTTAATCCCATCATCCACCATCTCAAGCCAACCTGCTAAAAAGGACCAAAGTAGGGGGAAATAATTCTCAATTAAACAGAGAGAGAGAGAGAGAGAGAAAGAAAAGACCCCCCCCAATTTCCCCTAACCATAAAAAGGAAGCGATAAAAAAACAAAAAACAAAAAAACATAGGGAATATATGAAAAACCAATACATACCATGTTTTGTGTTTTTCTTCTGTTGTTGCTGAAAAGGGTTTTAAGGCCTACAGCCAACAATAACAACAGCTCTAATAACAATCTGTTAGACTGGGGAAAATAGCATAAGAGCGGAACTGTCATCAGCTGTATTACATCCTTTTAAATCTATTCATGTCACATTCTGTGTCACAGTGGGAATAGCATAGCACAATCAACAGGCCTTATCATATGCCTGGACAAGCCAGTACAATTCATTCTGAACAACCATATGTCCTCTTCCTGTCACAAACAACCATTTAATAAATGTTCTGGTAACAGACATTATATATATAAAAAAAAAAAAAATTCACATAATGTACATAAATACAGATATAATTTCTTTGGGTTGAGAAAGAGAGGAAAAAAAAAATAGGTGAATGGGTGGATGGAGTGGAGGCAGGAACAGACAAGCAGTGACCACAGAAGAAAGAGGAGAGGGGGAAAAAAAAAGTTATGCAGATATTTTCATAAATAATTTCCCATTGGCTGATTCTTGAATGGGCAAAATATTTGGATAGGGAATATTCTAGATTATAGGGAAAGCTCGCAGTAATTTGTTTTTTTAAAACTAGGTGTTTCAGGGGAGGAATCTAACTCATTACAAGATGGCCACTGGGATTATATTGTCAGGATTTAAAATAAAATAATTTTAACAACTAGTAGTTGTTGTTGTTGTTTTAGGATTTTTTTTTTTTTTTTAATAAAGTTGGTAAGAAAAGAAAAAAAAGAAAAAAAGTATTTGCACTTCTCAGATGAATTTCAATTCATTAATGTTTTTCTTGTGTCCACAAAGGACAAAGTTCCTATTCATTGAATAAATGTTCTGAGATTTTTTTTTTTTTTTTTATTTATTTCTTGGTTTATGGCTGTTCAACCCTGGCCACCAAAAGCTGTGGAGGAAAAAAAAAATGATGATGTAGATTGGTGGTGAGAAAAGAAAAGAGGGAATGAAAGGCCTAAAAAGGAAGTTATAGGGAAAAGGGCTGACAGTCAAATGTTGGAGGCGTGCTTAATAGTATTTCTCACAGTGTCTGCACAAACGAACGTGGCACCAGCACAATACACTGCTGACACAAACTCAGTAGTCCTCAAGATCAAAATCTTCATCATAGCCATCTTCTCGCACCTCCAAAATATTGAAGTCTACTTGGTACCGCAAAATGGCTGCAAATAAAAAGAACAATCAATAAACACTTCTAGAAGTTAAAAAAAAAAAAAAGTACCTTTCTAAAAGACATTTAAAACTTTTCTTGTAATTTTTATTAAAAAAAAAAAAAAAAAAAAAAAAAAAAAAAAAAAAATACTAAAACTACATACATACAATGCAGAGCAACTGAGGCTATCATCAAGTCAAGGACATGCAACCACATCACTCTTGCCCAACTGAAGATGGTACCTGAATGAATTCAAGCATGTTTTGGAAACTTTATTTGCTTGTCTGAAAGTTTTACAGATTTCCCCTTTTACACTTTGTCTTTAGTTTATTGCAGAAGACATTGAAATAAGTATATTCATTTGTTTTCTTTGACAATATAATGTATGCCATTTTATATTCATTGGAGAAAAAAATTTACATACAAAGATTTTGTAATGAATTTTGTCAAAAATAATTTCCTGTTTTTCTCTAATCTTTATTGATAAATTTTCACGACAATTTTATTTTTAATTTTCTTGCATTATTTATGTTTTTTTTCTCCTTCTCACAGCTGTCTGAGATTTTCCAATGTGTAATTAAAGAATTACCTTTAAACTTGAGATAGCTTTGACATGCATGAAATTATTTTATTTTTGTAGATATTTACTTAACAGCAAGTTTAATTCTCTTATGCTTTAAGAACTTACCAGAGACTATCTTGAAAATGAATTTGATAAATAAGGTTCCAGTGATACATATTTTATGTTGGTAACAAAAAAGAAAAAAAAAAAAAAAAAAAAAAAAAAAAAAAAAAAAAAAAAAAGAATTACTTCAATTGGAAGGATTTTGCTAAAGAAATATAGCTTTGATCTAAGATAGAATGCTTAAAATGTAGATATTTTTTGGATGAAGTGGTAAGCCAAACAGACCTAAAAACTCACTTTCCCAAAGATATGCCAATGTCACACGAAGAGAGAGTGCTGCAGGGAATATTTGTAAAAGGAGATAAAGAAAAAAAAAAAGATTATGGCAATTTTAAAATTCCACAATTCAGTGGGTGCTTTTGTTTAATGTCAAATTAAAACCTTACATTCTTTTATATATATATATATATATATAAAGAATGTGTGTGTGTGTTTCTGAAATGCAACATTTCAATATGGAGAGTGGGAACAAGAATCCCCCACCCCGATTTTTTCTCTCTCCTAAATTTTAGTATCATAACTTAGTATATACTTAATATTACATGAAATAAAAGTAAATTTGTTTGGAAGACAAGACTATAAGTATGATAAAGAAAAGAAAATGGTATGTAACTTTCAGATATTTTCAAAATCATTGTTTCTCATCCCACCTCCCCATTATTTTTATACTTTGTTGCTGTGCATTCTTCCAAAAGCTGAAATCACTTCCTGATTGTTTCATGACTGATGCCTATTATTAGTCAAAATTGTTAATTAATTATTGAATGTCAAACAAGTCTCTCTTGCTAAAAGCTATCTCAATAATTGTAAGTTAATAATAATTAGTCACTAGGTCTTTACTTAAGATAGCATTGGCAGCAACTCGAAACACTATTTATGGAGGATGTTCAAAAAGTCTGATTCACACCCAAAAATGTGATCAAAGAAGCAAAAAGATTAAAGAAAAAAAAAAAAAAATTGTCTGAACCAGATCTAATTCCTTGTAAGAACAAAATATAACAAGTCTGGAACATGTTAAACATGAAAGAACTTTTTATATATATATATATATATATATATATATATATATATATATATATATATATATATATATATATATATATATATATATATATATATATATATATATATATATATATATATAAAAAAAATACAAACAAATCAAACATAAAATGAGATCAATAAGAAAAGTCATTTTGCACCAGAGTAAAGAGTTAAAGCTGATTTTGATGTTAGTCATATTTTTTAAATTAACTTGAACATAAATGGCAAATTATTTTAATTGTTTAAATTAAAAATAGGAAAACAAACTGTTGCTCACCTCCTATACCACCAAAGCCTTTCACAAACTGTGCACCCTCTTGGGACTTGTCTGTGATGATTTCCAATGTGGCACCTATAAAAGAATTACTTCCAGTTAATGCACAACTAAAAATTTTATGAACAAGTACTGCATAGGAAACTAAAATTCTAACAAAAATTTAGAAAGATATTTAATATTTTTAATCTTCAAATTAACAATGTAAGGGAGAAACAAAAACAGCCAAATTACAATGCACTATGTAAAGCCAGTTATTACTGGCTTTGTGCATTGTAATTCTACTATTGGCCAAGATGAAAAATGTAGGCACCAAACTGTTGATTATTTTTGTAACACATGGCAAATCTTACAATCTTTAAAATATTAATATTGTGCGCTAAAAGAATCCCCTTTTGACCCCACTTCAAAATGATAGGCACATGCCAATTTGCCCATCAGGGACCCCTTCTGTCCTGGACTGTGATGTTAAGAACTAGCACGATAAAATCAAAACTTACCAAAATTCTTGTAATTATTGGCAAACCACTCAAGAAGAGGCATTTGGTCAACTAATTCCAGTTCTACTCCAGTCTAGGGGGGGAAAAAGAAAGAAAATGTTAGAGATTTATTCAACTCGGAATCAAAATACACAAATTTTTAGTAAGTTACAAAATATTCCACTCCTTACTTAATTCTATAATTGAATAACTTTTGCAAAGTATATCTAAGAGGATACCGAGAAGTTCATGGCCTGGCCCACTTACTCAATAAGTCAAAAAAAAAAAAAAAAAAAAAAAATCTTATGTAGTGACTGAAACGTTATCAGCCTATCTATTGAGAACTCCACAGCTGCATAAAGCCCTTCCCCATTTTCTCCCATAACTGTGATTATCCCAGGTTTTGAATTTCATACATTCATTGAACACAACAATTTAAGCATATGGGTAGGTTGCTTTTCGTCATATCTATTTTATTAAATGCTTCCCAAACAATTGTTAGGCATCGTTTCATTTTATTTACATAATCTTAAATATTATCACTTTCCTGAAGTAGGTGTATTGCTGAACTTCCAGTTTTTTCATCATCTACATAGTAGAATTGAATATTACTTTTATTTCTGTTCAATTTTTCAACCTACTTTGAGATGCTCACAAGTCATTTAACATTTCTTTTAATTAATCTTCAGATGGTCCAGAACTATTTTCAATTCTGTGATTGTTTATACAAGCCAATGAGCAACTTTATGTCAAAAGACTTCATTTATTTATTACTTTATTCCTCTTAGGTCAAGTGGGTGGCTGCTTGGAAGATCCTATTCCATATACTTTTTAATTTTAATCATTTCATCTGATCATACAACTTAAATGACTGTAAATTTGCTTGGTTAAAAGTTAAAAGATGACAACTCACCAATTTCAACTTCTCAAATTCTGTTAAGGAGTTTTATTTATAACACTTATTATAAATGGGTTTGAGCACTATAGGCTTTGTTGTTTAATGTATAAAATTATTTAAATGCAACTATGTAAAAAAAAATTTTTTTTTTTTTTTTTTACATCAAACATTATCAAATTTATCCTATTTTTATCCAATTTCTTTTTACTATATTAGGTTTCATGTGCATGAAATTTTTTCTATCATTCAGCAGAAAAAGAAAAATTACCTCTTTTTCCATAAAATGAGTCTTATCCTTCTCTTGTTCAGGCCTTAAGTGTAAAATTTTTTCCTCTGTTGAAAGAAAAAAAAAAAAATTTTTTTTCCACTACACCATACAATGCCAGGAACATATATACAAATAATTTGAAAAGACACTTAAAAATATCACTATTTAAAAAAAAAAAAAAAAAAAAAAAAGTTATTTCCAAAATTGTTTTTATGAAAATATTCCATCAGTTTTGCTATTTTGTACATTAAGAGAATCTAGTTGCAATACATGAAAATTTAAAATCTTGTTAAACTATACACATGACAGTAAATAGAACATTCTCATAGAAAATATCCATTTGAATATATTCCTGTTTACATCCATGTTCATATTATAATAAAAGAAAACTAATATTTTAAAATTACATAAAATACAATTTACAAGCAGAATCATAAGTATGAGGAGGTGATAGAAGTTCTTAGTTTGACCCACTTTCTAAAAATTCATATTTTCATGATCAAACATCAGAATACTGATTTTGAGAAGTGAGCTCAACTGAGAATTTTTCAACACTTCTGTGCTGGATGATTCATATAAAAGATACAATTTAAAAAAGATAACTTACCATCTGTGGAATGATTCTTTAATATATATCTTGTTATGTCAAGGTTCTCCCATACTATCAGAATGTCAACAGCACCCATTTCTAAAGCTTTCAAAGTATCCTCCACACCAAAACAATATTTGCCTGTATCCTGAGAGATTTCATCAAAATACCTGCCTATAAGGGGGAAACAAAAAATTGCAGAAACATGCTTAACTTTTATAACTTTGCTTCTTTTCAAAATATACTTTTCTTTAAAAGTAATGCTAAATATCTTTGTCATTCTACTGATGACTGAACCGATGCAAATACTAAAATAAAAAATTGCTTAAACTATTTAGTGATTAAATGATTAACCTTTTAATATTCAACACATACAAACCAGCCCCATGAGAGGTGATTTTTATGAGGCAGCTTGAATTTTAAAATGTTGAAGATACTGCTGGTTTACAAAATTTTTGTCAAAAGAAATTCACATCAATCTTGGTTGATATGTGCAAGTTTTCTATGATAAATAGCAGCTTCATGGGAAGAAATAGTCACTATAAAATATAATCAACCAAAAATTATGATTTTCCCATGTTTGGAACTTTCTGAAAAGTAATTATTCTTAATGTACTGATTGAATATATTCCTTGCAATTTCTACAACTATAAAAAAGTGATGTGTGGAAATTCCTCTATTACATCTTTAAATATTTGAACTTAACAACTAATAAAATATTGCAATAACTATCATAATTATGAACACAGGTCATTAAAGAGGATACAAATTAAAATAATCAAAATTGACATTTTTCATTTCACTGATACAGATGTTAAGCATTTGATAGTGCTATTGATTATTCTATCAGCTTATTATGATAGGTTTCTCTCATTAAAAACTGACTGCATCTCTGATCTTTTTCTTTCCTCATAATTTGCTCTGATGCTAGTTGTCTTTATCAAGATGTAATTAGAAAATGTCTGATATGTTGGTGCAAAATCACAAAAATAAAGAAAATATTTTGATGATTTAATAAATACATGTATTAGTAACTAATTTTAATATCTTGGAGGTCAACACAGCAATTGCCAAACAGCAACATAATTTTTCAACTGTAAATGGCCTTGAAAGTGAATATAAGGCACCAGAGTTTCACTCCAGTCTTTAGCAATTCATAATACAGTTCATTTTTCATATTTTACCAAAAACAGAACAAACATTTTGCTAAAAGCCTGGCTTTGTTTTTTGCTGCAAACTGTCCTGTATCTACCCAAGAATTTTGATGGTGAATCCAATTAAGTTCCAGTGATAATCCCCACATCTAGTTCTATCACTAATTGTATGGGATAATCATAATCCAAAAGTGCCTGCATGTCAAATTCACATTTCATGAAGCTCACAAACCATTGCTGATGTTTTGATCAACTTGCAAAGAGACAACACAGTGTCACACGTATCTCCTCTGTAAATGTCACATTCGCGTCAACACAAGAGAAATTAAAATTGAAAACAAAAACACTCAAAAATCTTCCAACTGTGTAGCCAAGTTACAGTTTCTAAAGTGCTGGGAACTTTTGCACACACCTAAGATAATTTTGCACTCAATTTCGTCTGACAACATTTTTATATTTTCTCATTCTACAAAAAAAAAAAAAAAAATTTTCAGGACCGCTTAGCAAAACTGACCGTGCCAGTTAGACTACAATGAAAAGTTTCCAACTATCAATAACAAGGAATAAAAAAAATACTCAATGAAGTAAATTCATTAAAAATCCATTGATTTGCTAGCATACACCTTCATTATAAGCAGAAATCTACTTTTGATCATTGTTAAATATATAATAAAAAATGTATTAATATAAAAGATTAGCTGAATTATATAAAATCCAATTACCTATCAATTTCTTTTCTTGAATAAATTTAACATTAGCTAATGCATCTGAAGCTAGTTCAATGGCTTGATTGAATCCATTCTCTCCTCCATAGGACACATCAACAATTTTGATAATTTTGGCTTGTAACCTCTATAAAAGAGAAATTTATAATTAGTGCCATGCAACCTGCAATTGGGATAAAGTAGAGAATACAGGAAGAAGAGGCAAAAAACAAGTTCTACAGCCAGATTTACATCATTCAGATATTTATGTAAAATAAATATAACAGAATTTCTTTACAACTTTGAAAGAAAAATAAACCTGATAATATGCTAATAAATATGATTCTCTCTATATCTGCAGAAAAGCATTAATTTGCATTTTAAACAAAATATAAAAACAAACATACCAATTGTCATAAAAGGACTTAGAAATACACCAGATATTATTATATTAAAGAGAGGGGAAAATATCATTAAGCCCTCCTTAAGAGGAGGAGGAGGGGTGGGGGGTTAATGATTCCAACCTTATAAAGATGAATTATGTTGTCTTAATAAAATATACTTCCTCTTTACTTCATTTAATAGTTTTTTAAAAGCTAAAAATCTTCTGGTATCAGCAATTATTTCTGTATCTATATTTAATGTATTTTGATTCAACTTGTTTATAACTTGCAGCTTTTTAATATATTTTCATATAGTCCTACAAGTAAAAAGAATTTTATTTTGCAGCTTTGTGAAACAAAAGAAATATTAACTTCAAAATGATATTTACATCTTATAATAAAATGGTATCATTTCTAATACAAATAGTCAGTGAGATTCACTCAAACCTTGATGCTAACCAAGAAATAATAAAAATATATAAATGAACTTCTTTACGTCAGAGAAATTATTCATATTGGCTAATTTGATAGAGAAATCTAATTGCTACAGGCTAAACAAGTTTTGAAAAATAAAAATAAACATCAATATTGTTCTTACATTAGTGAAATATTTAAAAACCAATTGCATAATGCCCATCAATATCTTTAACTATCATAATAAAAAAAGAGTCAACAATAATGTTTTGTGCTTATAAAGGTTATATTTGAAGAGAAGAGTGAGGTGGAGGAGAAGCAGCATAGTAATCATAATACTCACTGGGTCAAACATGTCTGATTGACTGAGTTCCGTTTTAAAATCTGCAGAACCAGCTAAAACGAGGCCAGAGATATTTGGTTTATCATTAGTGATGAATAACTGGACTGCTACCTCAGCTACTTTCCGAACATAGTTGTGACGTTTCTCCATTCTCAATCTTGCAAAACGCAAGGCAGACTGACCACCACGCCCTGAAGAAAGGTAAAAATAGAGTAATAAATACTGAAGAGGTGAAAAGTGCTCATTGAATAAAAAAAACAAAAAAAACAGAGCTTCCCCTTAAAGAGGTAAAAATTAAAAAAAAAAAAAAAAAAAAAAATCCATTTAAAAGTATATTTATTATAATAGAAAAAGAAAATAGTAGATATATGAAGGGCTATTGTTACTATATCAAAAGTGAAAATAATATCTCTTTGCCAGAGCTTCAGATCCAACAACTAATTATGGTTGTGTAGGTAATGGAGAATTAGATTACACAGATTAAACTAATCTTCAGTTAGAAGAATACCATTATTTCAGACAAAGTTTATATAATTTTGAAATAATCTCAAGAGATTTAAACCATCAAGATAAACAAAAGCATGGAAAAATTTATACCATAAATTATGAAACTGCAGAAAGGGACAGGAAGAAAAAATTATTAAGCACTGTTTTTGTGTAATAGTGGAAACACAATACACACAAAAAAAAAAAAAAAAAAAAATCTTAATAAAGTTCCCATACCCAAATTTTGCATTTACAAAAAGCATAAGTGAAATTTGAAATAAAGCTAAAATTACTAGTGAAGACCCAATTTTATCATTAAAAAAAAAAAAAAAACACAAAAAAACAAACTAATAAAAAGAGTAACAAAATAGACCTCTAATGTATTAATGCGCATGCATGCATACACCAAAAGATTGCCAAGAATGGAAATGACATTGAAGATTTTCTCTGTAAGAAAAGTAAGATTTACAATTCAAAAGAAACTACTTTTGTAAAAATGAATCAGCTGAGAATTTCATGAAAATATATTTAAGAGATTCATGATAAATCTTCAGTTTGCAATTCCTGAGATACTTTTCCCATACATTTTCTGTTTTTCAGGCAAGGTGATGTTAGGGTTAAAGCTCATAGGACTCATGAAGCAATGTGTGTTTGTGTATGTGTATATAAGAGGCTTTGGTCTGCCCAATAGTTTTTTTTTTCTTCTTCTATGATATACATCATTTTGCATGGATTAAGTTTTACAGATCATTGACAGGATTAATCTACTTGCACATAAACTGAAGTGCCCCAAAATTAAAGAGAGCTTAACACCAAATGGAAATGACTACAGAATCATTACTGGGACCAGAAAGATGAAGCCCTATCTCCAAGGCTGTAAACGTTCTAGGTTTTTCTTGGGAAAGTAGTAAGGATATCCCAGGAATATGTAAATTCCAGACATATTAGCAATATGTGAAACTTCTAAGTGCTCACAGGTGATGCAAGAATAGGACTGACAAAAGTGGGTAGCCACACAAAGAGGAAGATAGCATAAAAATTACACTCCAATTGAACGTTGATACAACACACAAAACACCAGTAAATTCCCTCTATAGTACACATGACATTCTATAAGATTATCATTGTCACCCAATAAGGGTACCATGACCCCAGTTACTGTGCTTCACTGAGGAACCAGAAGTTACATTTTCCAACTCTCAGACAGCTGCAGAAGAGACACTGTATAGAACTAGTTTGTTTTGGGAGTTGGGGATGGTTCTGTAACAATATGGAAAGGGTTCTGTTGGTGTTCACAAAGACTAATAGTGAAAATAGTTTTTCTTGACATGTACGATATTCCCTACTGCACATCACATTACCTGATGGGGAATGTTTGTTCCAGTAAGATAATATATTGAGTTTGGTTAATACAAAACTGATTTTCAGAATATTTGGCTGATTTTTCAAGTACTTCATTGGTCTTTATGCATGCTAGGTTTAAATCGGATATGTTGCAAACCCTATAAAAAAAGCCAACCAAATTAGAGATAATCCTAGAATGTACCGGATAAAAATAGTCAAGCAATTACTCCAGTACTGCATAGAGTCCATGTCCGATTATGCAGATTCAGGAAATAAGCTTAGTTATGAAGTAGCTGTTTATATATTTCTTTTTTTGCAAATTCAGTTTTTGTTAATATTTAATTTCAATGTCTATTTACATTACACTGACTTTGAATTACATTAATATCAATTTCAAATTTACATTTAATTATAGCCCCCATATCAATCACTTGCTTCTGATTCTCCCCTTACTAATTTTATACTGAAAATAGATGACAACCATATACATTAGGAAGATAGATTAATAAAATTTATTTATGGATCTGAAATAAATCTTAAACTTTTAAATTGTTCTGATTTAATTAAAATTTTCAGATAATTTCCATGACTTGTATCTCTTGATTAAAAGCCACTTGAATGTTAAATTTTATTAATAAATTGCTTCAAAATCAAAAGATTTTAACTCTTTGGCTGTTATAGTTTTCGATATTTTTAATAATCATTGAAAGTGATTTCTATCCAGACTAAAATTATTTATAAAATGTGTGTCCAGAAACAGGTCTTCAACTTTCATTCATTAACAGAATTCAGTTCAATTTTAACTTTTAATTACATTAAAAATGAAAACTTTGGTCTATGTAGCCTCACTTCATTTTAATTACTGTCAGTTTGATTTTTCATAGAAATTAAAAGAGCAACGCCAAATTACATCGATTTTACATATATCTAAATTTAATAAAGCTGATTATTGCCTATTGGATTTTGTAAATATAATCAGTTATGGGTTTCACTGTAAAGAAACAATCTCCATTAATTTGGGCTTCTCTTAAGTTGTTTACCCACACACAAATTTGCTACTGCAATTAGACAGTATTTTCTTTTTTTTTTTTAAGCATTCATGTGTTTAGTCTATAAGTTTTGTATTTCATCTAAAACCTGTAAGAAAAGCACAAGCACACTGAATTCATCATTGTTGTAAGGTTTCTAATATTTGAAAACATACTATATATATATATGTACATGAGATGGAATGCAAATAAATGGTATTGTAACAATAAATTAAAATCTTTTTTAGATGATGCAGAGTCCGTTCAGATTTTTAAAGCTATTTTTGCTTCTGGTCAGAAAGATTTGACAGTCTTTCAATTAATCATTAAATAGTGAAATTGCAATATACAGAACACTAAATTAAATTTTTCACTAAAAGAACTGAAACTTAATTCCAAGTCTAAATTAAAAAAATAGAAAAAAGTATGCAATATTAATTAACAAAATACACATTATATTAACACATATTTTATTACTTTGATATTTTTCTAACAAAGAAATTATCTCACCATGTTTTTTTGGTAGATCCACTGTGAATTTATGTAAGACTTCACGAGTGTTCCCAGACAAGGTCCCAAACAATGCTCCATTACCATCCATCACAATGAAACCAAACTTATTGTCATCTGCCAAGAGGGCTGTTAGAGCCTAGAATAAAAAAGATAAAACAATTTCAATCGTAAACATTTAAAATTAGAAATTTAGTTTTGTCTTTTCTCATTGTTAGGAACACTATTTCATAGTCAAACTGATTTTTTTCTTAAATTTTTCAATATTTGCTTTTCTCATTCATAGAAATCACATCAAAATAATAATTATAGATTTAATAGGCTTTGCTTTAAATATTGATAAGAGAATCAACTTACTTCTGTGTGAAATTTGTTGTCACAGAGGTAGAGTGAAGTGTTAATAGGTCGGAACGGTTCAAAGTCAATGTTGACTTTCTTTTCTTTTCCTTCATCTGTGACAATGGTACCACAGTAGATGACTAAACCATTTGGAGGCACTGGGGGGAAAAAAACACAAAAAAAACATTGGCAACATATTGAGTAAAACATTTTATATTTTCAATATACAAGTACACAGTTTTTAAAATAAAATTTTGGTAATGTTATTCCAAGGTAGCAGAATATATTTCATTATCCTATTATAATTGTGTTTGTCCCTACCTTTGTTAATTTGTACAACCGTTACACCCTGCCAATACCCCATAAATGGTGGTCTATTTTGCTTAAATCATGCGGAAAGAGGGGAAAGTCCACCTGGTTTCAGTGAGAAAATGAATGAAAGAAAGAAGGGAAGATAGAAGTGAAGAGAATCAGATTAAGCTGAGAAGTGATAGTATTTTCTAGCCACCTCATGCTGCAGGATAAGACAAAGTCAGTTTGGAGAGCCCAAGCATGTGCACCTAGGCCAGGTCCAAAAATAGTCCAGCCTCCACAAACGTCAGTTCTGCTGGTATTAATACCACCCACTTTTAGTGCAATGCAGGAGGTATGTCACAGGTAACTGTTTCCCTGTGACTGGGCATCTTTCAATAATATTTTCAGTTGCACTGTCCACATAGACACAATTGAGAGATGAAATATAGCTTATCTGCCCAAGGGCAGATACACTTTGATCCCAGCCATAAGGCCAAGAAGCAAGGGCAATCACAATAAAAGCACCATTTTTTTTCAGACCCACAGTATCGAATGATTGAAACAGAGAGAAGTAATTGCCAAAAATCCAGTTACCATAAATAAAATAACATCATTTGCCGAGTTATTTTAAGATTATTATTAAGAGAAATGTTCATAAGACGAGGATTTGGCTAGAAATAAAGAAGGGAAGATAGAAATGTTTAATGTTGCCTGTCAATATCCCATAAATAATGGACTATACAGTTTTGATTGTGTAGAAAAACAAAAGATATATGAAAGAATGGAAGATAGACATGTTTAGTGGTTATTTTAGTGAAACGGAAAAAAAGTTAAATTTTAACTCTCCATTTGTATTCATTTCTTAAAATAATGACCAGCATTCATATTTATGGTTGTTATTGCAATATTTTTTTTACCATGACTTGATGGCAAATAAATAGATGTCTGCTGGTTTGCTGCCATTACATATTTTCTTAAATAATTGTGAGGAAGAAACAAATATATATAATAAAAAATATTATTTTGAAAAAAAAAAAAAAAAAAAAAAAAAAAAGCAGAAAAAAAAGAAAGAAAGGAGACATCCTTACTCTGTTATTTCAATAAATATGAATCTCTCAAAGCAGACAATTGCTGTTGTTATTAGTTATTTTTTATTTTAACGACCTTCACCTTTGAAAATTATATGGTAAATACTACAAAAGTTGGTATAACTTGTCACCTACTATTACTTGAATGGAAAGGCCTTTAGTGTGATATCAGTTTGAAATCCCATTTAAAAAAAAGTAAATTTTTTCCGACAATTGATCTAAGTAATATTGTATAATGTGAATAATGATAATTATTACAATATAACTTATATTGCAAATACAGATGAAAATGTGTAATGATAAAATTGTTAATGTTACTCTGCACACCATTTTGCATCAGGAACTGCTTTTAAAAAGAAAGCTAACTAGTTTGAGTGGTCTAGTAGAATAATTTAACTGATACCAGTTTAACATTTTATATACACAGAAATACCTAAGTCATGTAGGCATTATTCACATTTCTTATGTCATAATTAGACATGAAAATAATGCTTTGCTATTTTAGAAACAGCAACAAATGACAACATTTTTCTAAAATGATTCAGCTTATTCTTCCAAAAGAGAATATTTCTAGACCTAAAAGTGAAGTTATATCTGATGAAAAGCTTATATTTAACAATTAAGGTGCTGCTTTCCCCAATAAAAAAAATATTGTTGTGAGAAACTTTTATGAAATAGTTTAATTCATTTTATTAGTTTTTGATATCATTATAAAGATACATAGTTTTCATGTAGTAATTAAAATGCTAATTTCTGCAACATTTCAATTTTCACTAGGTGCTATACAAATAATTTAAATTTTAGGCCAAATAAAAATTCACAAATACTATCTTTTGCCATATTATGTGTATGATGGCTTTAGTTTTAGGTGCATCTGGGCTCATGAACTTGTATTGTACAGGTTTGTTTTGTTAAGCAATTTTTTTCAGAGGTTGCATTGTATGCAGAGCCTAAAAAATTTAAATAAAATAAAAAAAATTGAAAAGTAATATTTGGTGGAACAAGACAATTCATACAATGGAATACACAATAACTTGAAAATTCATTTTTAATAAAATACTCAAATTACAAGATTTTCTGTAATTTTTTAGTAAAAATTAGTGACTTGGAAAGAAATTGGCAAGCAGAGTTTGTTACATTCCTTTCCATACAAATACTGTTTGGAAAGGCATGAATCCATCTCTTCTCACTCCAGCTGTGAGGGTTTAAATAACTAAGCTGACTCTTGCCTTGAGGTGGCACAAACAGAGATGGAAAGCTGAATTCAAAGTCTTCCCAGAAAGGAACAGTCTCTGTCAGGCACCCTATAGACACCACTACTGCAATAGCTACAATGCCATATGATAGCCCCCGACAACCCTTATGGGTTATAGGACTTGTGGCAAGTCATTTTAGTAAATGTTGGAAGAACTAATGAAACTAAAATGTAAAGATATATATTTCCAAACAAAACCACATGAACCAATAACTAAATTGCTAAATATATTTTGAATGATGCTAATACTTTTACAGGTTTCATGATAAGAAAACTTATCTTATGCACTACTACATTTAGAACTTTTAGTTGTGGTTATTTACTTTTTCTCAGTCTTGATACCAATAGATTTGCATTGTTCATTTAGTATATTACTATTCATATGAGTTAACAAATTAGTATTTCCTTTTTGAAGATGATTGTTAACCTGGATTAAAAGGAGGAAGAAAGCAAATAAAATGATCTTGATTAAAATCTGCATGAAACTATTAACAGGAACAAGTGGTACCTTTGTTGTATAGTTTTAATCTCTGTTGTACAGATGTAATGGCACCAAGCACAGACAACCGGTTCACACGACTTTTTATGTTAGAGGCTGTACCAAACTCATCTGCTAACATCTTTGCAACTCGCGAGATTTGATCCTTAGGCGGAATAATTAGGGAGATCATGCTTGTACCATTTCTGAAAAATAAATATAAGTAATATTAAGAAGAGCTAGTAGAACCCAAACTAAATCTGGTTTCAAATATGTTCCAGTTGTAAAATAAAACTTGCAGAAAACAAATTTTCAAAATGATACTAGAGAAAAAACAAAATTTAAAATTATTTTATATTAAGGTTATTTCAAGTTAAAACCTACCCAACAAAACAAAGATAACTAACATTTTAATACCTTAACTTTTACACAAGGCTATAGAAACTGGTAAGAATTTTTTTCTTGTTTTTAATATTTTAAAAATAGCTTTAAAAAAATAAATGTACTTTATGATTAAATTCATTCTAAATCTAATAACCGAATTTTCATCTTATTTGCTAGGATGGTGTGAGACTAAATTTTGAAGCGCTGAATAAATACAGTTATACTTTAAACAATTCATTGCAAATACCACCAATCAAACACTGACAAAATTTAAGAGAAAAATATAATCTACGAATGAAAAATAACAAGTTCACTATTTTTTCTCTTCCTAAGTAATAAATTCCTACAATAAATTTGCAAAATTAACATATTGACCTTTTGATAAATTCTAAAGGCTGGAGATTTAAAAAAAAAATGTACATCAATATAAATTAGAATATATATATAAAAGAGAAGATGCTGAAAAGTTCTTGACACAACCAACTTTCCCCAAAATCAGTATTTCAATAATCAAATGCATTAAGCTGAGAATTTTTCAGCAGCATCCCCATACACAAGAGTTAGAAAATTATTTAATCTGGAAACAAACTTTATTAAATTTTTAATCAGGTTACATTTTAGATACATTGAATTCAAAAGACTAACAAACAAACAAAAAAATTCTAATTTTTTTTCTTTTTCTAAGTGTACTGTCTAGATGTTATTTTTTTTGATAAGAGATCAATTAAAATTGTATCAATAAAATAATTAAAATATAGACATTGACACACACACAAAATTTATTTCTTAAATCGCAAATAAGATAAATCCTAAAGTCAAATCTTTTTTGATTAGAAAGAATGTATTATAAACCAAGCACAAAAGCAGCTTAATCACATGAATAGTAGTATTTTAAACTGTTTGTCATGAAAACTGCATTGTAATAGAATAAATCACAGGATTATCAAATCTGCTGTTTACGTATAACATGTTAAATATTTCAGGCATAGCTGACATTCAGCAATCATTTCTTTAAACATAACTCAATTGAAAAATTAAAAAAAAAAAAATAAAGCTATGCACTAAGTATAAGTGCATAGTAAACAATCACATTGGTTTCTGGGCTATTTATCTACATGAGTCTTGTCCTATGGTTTAATAAGTGGCTACTAGTTAAGTTCTTGGCACTCACTGTACATTCAACAATACCTACTGGAATAAAATAGGTATACCCAGTGCTTCTGTAAAATTCTATTCATCATATCAAGAAATGTATACATGGGATAAATGTATTACAGGTGACAAATATAAATGTATACATGGGATAAATGTATTACAGGTGACAAATATAAATGTATACATGGGATAAATGTATTACAGGTGACAAATACTACACAAATTTATCAGAGTTCATTCTACTTCAAAATTATTAAAAATAAAATGACAATTTATGAAATTAAAAATGCAAAAGTGAAAAGTAGATAAATAACATTTGGATATTACAAATCCCTTAAAAAAATATTTTATATAAAAGCAAACATTTTTTTTAATTGATACAATTGCTTAGTTATATTTAAAAACATAGAACTGAATATAATTTTCAAGACACTAAATGAACTAATTACCATATTCAATCAAAAATTCCATAAAATGTTTTACTCATGTACCCTTAAACAATAACCAAAAACAAACATAACCCTTACTATAACGAACAAAATTGCAGTTTATATAAAACATGAAAAAATTTAAATATATGATAAAATATTAAAGTATGGGTCATAATATAAAGTCACATTTGCAAGCAAGTATATATATATATATATATATAAAAAACTGGCAGCTCTCTGCCATCAATGTTTGTCAGGCTCATTACAAAATATATTATAACTTAGATGCTAAAATGATTCCTTAACTCTAAAATTCATAATTTAAAAAAAATCTCTAGCCAGATTTTTTGGGAAAAATAATGTGTATCTATCTTGAGTGTGTGTATGCATTATAGTGTTCATGTATCTCTGTCTGTGAATTTTTAGTTAATTTATTTTATGTTTATGATCAGTACTGCTGACTGATATATTTTCCCAACACTACCCCAGCCACACTCCTCTCCCCAACCCTCCAGTCGACAAGCTAAGGTTTCCACTTTCTTTGATTTTTGCTGAATTTAAGTCAGGCTAAATTTGCAGTTTCTCAAAAGATACATTCCACTAAAAAAACCTTATACTATATGGAATAAATTATTTAAAATGAACATTTGAAAACAATAAGTTGAAATAAAAAAATATGTTCTTTGAAAAACAGGGCATCCAAGTGATTAGAGATTTTTAAAAGATTTATAAAATTAAAGCAAGAAATACACTGCCTATTAAGTATGTCTCCAGCTCAGATAGGGCTCAGATACATGTAGCCCAACTAGCCACATTATTTATTTATTTATTTTTTTACTTACTTCTTTATTATGAACAATATCAATAAAATTTATTTTAACTTTTTTTTTTTTCAATTTTTAAACATGCAAATGTTTTTTGAAACTTTAATAGTCAAGTTTTATTTCAGTTTAAGAATGAAATCTCAAGATTGTATTTTTTTTTTAAATTACATAACATTTGAGAATAGTTTAAAATAAGAACCATGAAACCTGCTATAAGATGTGAGAATTTAAGCTTTCAAACAAACAAGAAATGAATGAGTGAAACTATAACACCTAACCAAGTATTAGATGACCAACTGTTTGATAATAGCATAACCTGAAGTCTACAATTAGACAAAGTACTGAAAAACACAAGGCTAATGATAAAGTAAATTGTGTATACTCTATTTTACATAACAATGTATAAAAACAAAATGTCTTCAATGAACAAGAATCGAAATAGAGAAAAACAAAAGATCAATTTAAAAAGAAACACTTAATATCCAAGCAAAGTTCATTTTCATAAATATGAACAAATCCAACCAGTTAATGAGATTAAACTATTATCTTAACTTTATTCAACTCAGATAATTTTTGATAAATAATAAGTCCAAGCTAAAAGGTAGTCTACAAATTCCAGTATCAAGAGGAAATAATAGTGAACCAAAGCAAGAATTTAATAAGCTAATTCGGTCAACATGAAAAATTAAATATATTGATTCTAACTGAACTTAAAATCAATCTTAACAGAGATTGATGTTCTTGTTTTTACACAAGAAATTCAAGCTAATGAATTCTAGTTTTAAGAACATATAAGATGAAAGTTTACATTATAATAATTTTGTAATTTACAATTATTGAATATGCCGAGGAATACAGTAAATCATGTGTGCTAATTCACTGTTTATTGCATTCATGTAAATAACATCTTCAGCCAAACACAGTTGCTCTAGATAGAGATATATCCATACAGGCAAGTGTACAAATATGTAAATTAACAAGATTAAAACCAGATTATTTTCAGAATGACAACTTAGTTTATGTAATAAAACCCCATATGTATCTAAGCTTAATAACAGCCTATTTTGTCACAAGCTTTAGTGATATATAAGTAGGCACCAATCAAATGTGTAAGTCAATTTCAGATCTTTTAGAAACTATTTATAAATTATTGGGAGAAGAAAAATAAATATCATCAGTGATCTAATTAGATGGAAGACAGTTGATGTGAAAAATGCCATACTAATACAGTACGATTACATGAAACTAGTAAACATGTGCAAAAAGATGAACCTGTAAGAAAAATATTAAACCCTGTGTAAAGCCAAGCTTCAATAGCTATACTTGGTGTTATTTACAAATATTATCCTAGTACCTAAAAAAAAAAAAAAAATCAACACATTAGCATTAGTGGTGTCTGTGATGAGTGTTCATATAATAAAAACACAGTTGGAACTTAATATTACATGTACCAACAAACAAATTGTCATTTTATTCACATTACTCATGTAATTAATGGCAAAAAGAGTTTCTCTTGTAAAAACTCATTTTATTTTCCCTTCACTTAAGACATAAGAGGCTGGTTTTGTCAGCAGCATCTTTACATTTATTTAGGAACAGAGATATGGTTACAAACAATGTTAAAACCATTCAATACAACTTAATGAAAAAGCATAAATATCTTAAGGATTTGTAAATCAGATGCATTTCTGAATACTTTTATGCGCAATAAACTTTGATATATGTCATGTAGGGGAATTCCATAGTATGTAGGGGAATTCCTTGTCATGTACTTGGAAAGGTTGATCAAAAAGTTTTAAAGATTGTTTACATCACCTTTTCAATTGAACTAACATGCTGCAGAAAGAATTCACTTTTTCCCTAATTTCATTGAATCTTGATTTTTTTTTTTTTCAATGTAAAATGAAATACTTTCAAAAAAAAAAAAAAAAAAAAAAACCTAAAAATAATATGGGTTCACACACGCACACACACAAACCAAACATGAAAGTAATAAAGAAAAACAAATACTTGCAATAACTATTAAAGGGAAAAAATATACATTTGCAATTCATTTTTTTTTTTTTATTATCTATTTTTAAAAAGAGAACTTTCAACAGCTTTTAACACAGAGAAAAGAAAAACTGCACAATTATTTTTATAATTTGTTGAAAGTACTGAAAGTTGATTCACCAATGTATGGTAAGGATGGGTGATGATGAATGATGTGGTCAATAGTTAATTTCTATACACAAGCTCAAACATGAATGAACAAAGAGAAATCTTAAAAGCAAAATGTGGCAATATGTTCTTGTAAGAGACCATGCAACATTAGAGAAAAGGAGAAACCAGCTAACAGGCAACCTTATATGAAAATGTGTTACATTGGGGGAATATACTAAAAGAAATCAGTTTAGACGATGGAGGGGGAGTAGGTAGAAGGAAATTGAATTGATCAGCTGAATTAAGCCAAAAGATCAAGAGTAATAAAACATCTGCTAAATGGAATCAATTTGTGAACTGGAAGAAATAAATCTATTGCACAAAATGAAATATTACTACTTTATAAAAGAATAATTCAGATGTACATAAAAAATAGAAATATGTTCAGCAATGTATTATTAAAATAAACTGATATTGGGCAACAGTAGAAATGAAATGTGCAAGATAGATTTTTAAAAGGAAAAGAAAATAATCAATAGAAAATAGAATAATGACCTCTCTTACACACACTCGCACATATATATATATATATATATATATATATATAAAGAGGATGTATATCGTTGAAGGAGTGCTGAAAAGTTCTCGGCTAGTTAAACATCAGGATGTATTTTGGAAACCCTTCTTGGTCGAGAACTTTTATCACCTCGTTGATTATTATATAACATTTTTTCAAGATAGAATTTTCCAGTTTTCCTACAATTACAAAAAAATAGCGAATTAATCACATCAAAAGAATCTGAATTCGCTATTTTTTAGAGACCAAGACAAATTTCAAGGTTTACGTTTACGAAGACCCTTTTAAAAATTCCCAAGTGATATCTGTGATTTTAGAGTTAGAGAAAAAATTTAATTTAAAGTTAATCTTTTTTGTAAATATACAATTTTAATTAGTTTGACTTTAAAAACACTTTAGTTTTTTGTAATTTATTAAAGGAAAAGATTTCAAAGATTCAACAGGCTTCTGCAGTTGGTGCCAGAATAGGAAAAGTTAAGGGGGAAAAAATAATTGTTCAATCATACATGCATCCAGAATTTTTTAAGTCTAAAAATCTAAAATATTTTATCAGCAGCTACTGTGAAAATAGCAGGAATCAAAATTTAACCATAATGAATTATCGATATTTTATAGATACAGAACACTGCCTTTTAAAAAGGCACCACTTAGAATATAAAAAAAGGAAAAATAAACGAGGTTTTTTAATACGTAAAATTGGAATTTAATCTACCTACATAGTATGATAATCTGCTACTGCGAAAGCAGAGTGTAGTATACCTAGGTACAACGAACTAAGTTCTTTATTCCTCTCTCTCCAATGTATCTTCAATTGTGCGTATTAGGAATGGTACCAAAAGACTTGATTATAGGGAAGAAAATTAATTCACAGCAACATATCACATTAAAATAGAGATGTCTCCCCCAGAACAAAGTCATAATCAGATCCCATCATAGCAAATATACCCAGACACACAAAAGAGAAAAAAATCTTACTACATTTTATGAGTATACACCTTTAATTCTGTCTTGGGAGATTCATAGGCCACGTTTTCACAACTAGATAACAGAAATGGAAAGAAGAATAAAAAATAGCCGGCAGTGAGGTGGTGGATAAACTGTAGCGTTAAAAATTAAGAAACGACTCCAACTGGTAAGTAAAACAATTTTAAAGTACAGCCAAATATAAAATTCAATTTTATATACTAACTAATCAATTAAAAAGTAATAGTTTTTTTGTTTTTTTTTAAAGACAAGCATATGTAAACGACAATATCATGCACCAAAATGCATTTTGGCCTACACATGATAATAATACTCAATATTGATTAAAGCTTTATATACATATATACAAGAAGACGAATAGGATATCACATGCAGAGATGTGAATATTTCATACACGCACATTATTAACGATGCAATACTTGCAATTATGTGGATACACATGTAGGAGATTAGATAAATATACACAACTAACGAATCTAGGGAATGGGTTTTTAGTGATTTTTTCCTACTTGGAATTAGTCGGCAAGTCATATTCGTGGGTAGGTAAAAAGAAATATGGACTTCAGTTAAAATGTCCTACACGCTCCAAGTTGAATGTGGATTATCATAAGGCCTATGAGGAGATTCGCACACGTTATAAGTAAAACCTCTACATTTTAATTGAGAAGTCTTTATGTATGTATACTTTATTAAATTTGATCAGCACACGAAGTGTAAAGCGGTTCAGCTATTAAATGGATTATAAAGGGAGAAAAAAAGAGGCTTGGTTAAGGTTTAGAAAAAAAAGGACTATTCACCAGATGAAATAAAGTCTTTGCAGAAAAAAAGTGATTTAAATGTCTACTACAGATAAAAAAAGAAATAGACGATATTCTAAATACCTACGTAAGAAGAAAACGGAAGAAATATAAACCCCAAAGTGAGAACCACTCAAAAATTTTAAATTTTAAGTTGGACAATTATTTTTTTTTTTTTCAAAGAGTAAAGACGAGAAACTCAGTGACCATCTGGAGAATAGGAAAGCAGAAAGAAACGAAGAAACAACGAAATACATGTACAGATATGGTCTAGAGGCAGGTTTGAAGATACATATATACAAATATAAAGCTAGAGATGGACAAAAATACAAGAAACAGAGACACCAAGTTGAAAACTGGTGATAGCCATGTGGCAAGGCAGACAAGACAAGAGATGAGAAAACAACTTTAAACCGTTCTCACACATACACTTATTATCGGAGGACACCCTTCTATAACAGAAGAGTTATGAGCCCATTATTATAGACAAATGTGAAGAATAGACTATGATGTTTACCCCCTAGCCGCCTCCAGACTTTTGATGAGTTTCTTTATCTTCCAGATCTCTACATTGCGATCGGCGTTCGTCTCACCGTCCACACCGTTGGAAGCCATCTTGAAAAGGCTCGGACCTGTTCCGTGACTGTAGCGTATCTGTGGTAGTTGGAGGGGCGAGAGGAAGAGGAGAAGTAAGAGATGGCTATTGTGAAGGAATGGGAGGAGAGTCACATAAGTAAACAGAGAGAGTAGGGAGAGATTGGAGGAGTTAAAGAGAGTAACAACAGATATGAAAGGGAAGTAGCATTAGACTGATGGATATAGAGAGGAATACGTGAAAAAAAAAATAGGCTACTGAGAAAAATCGGAGGAGGAGATTCAAATAAACAGAAAGGAGTTTATCACTGAGTAGCGGAGGAGGAAAGTCAGATTAATTAGCACAGAGGGAGAAGGCATCAGAGCAGCGAGTGAAAGTTGGAGGAGTTTTGATGTCAAAAGCCCAACAGTCAGAGTAGGCGTCAAAGAGAGAGTAGGAGGAGAGTTACTGCAGCAATCGTAGGAGTTAACTAAGAAAATATACATAGTTGAAGGAAAAGAGGAGTAGTGTGAGGTAATAATTCATTTCGAGTAGGAGAATGCGAAACAGTAAATCAAAAAGAATATTGTTAAAAAGGTTAAAAGATCAAAATCGGACCTATTGTAAGTGGGGTAGAACAATATCAAGTCAGAAAACACATATAAGGATTAAACGATACGAATCTTAGAATGGGAGAATCGAAAACGCAGTAGCATTTATTTAACAATTAGGCAAAGAAAACTGTACTTGTACTACGTTAAAAAAATCATTTAAACTAACTTCATTAAATAACTCAAAAACTCTTTTTTTTCTTCTCTCGCTTTATGAGGAAATTAAATTAATTTTTATTATAAGAAAGCAAGTTATTAATAATCTTAAATTATAACAAACAGTGCCACCCAACTTAACCTGTTAGGCGGGTGTACGCTCCCGCCAAATTACACCAAAGACAGCAATGATCCTTGAAATAATATCTTTATTGACAAAAAAATAACAATTGTTGTAAAGAGTCTATGAAAACATTTTCTTTGCAATAATTAACGAAAAAAAAACAGCTCCATGCTGTCCACGTCGTCTTATTTAACAAACGTCATTTCAAGTCGTGTGGTAAGTCTTCACAAGTTTTGATGACGTCACCGGACAGCACAAGTAGTGAAAAAGTTACACCACTTTTGATGACATCATTCACATCAATCATGACGTCATAAACTGGTTTACACTACTGATGACATAGCTGGACTTCCGGTACTAATTTTTTTTCTTTCTCATTCATTCGTTTTGCAAGTTCCTTCTATTTCAGTGCTATCTTTTTGAGTCATAATTCTTAATAGTATATAGCATTTCTTTTTCACTCCTTCATTTCTTTTGCTTCATATAAGAGAAGTACAAGTGGTCGAAAAAATTTTTTAAATTCGTTTGTCTTTAATTCATTATTATTATTATTTTTCCTTCCTGTCAACACCCAACTCTTTTCATCTGTAAAAAAATAACGCTAGGAAGTAAAAAATGGAATTTAGCTATTTTATTTTTATTGTGCTTTAAATTTGGTAGCTGTATATATATATATTTTAAATTGCTGATACTTTTTGTAAAGTTCTATAGTAAAAAAAAAATAAAGATTACTGAACCCATTTTTCAAGAAAGATAATTAAGATGTGGTTATTAATATTATTACTTCATGTTTCCAAGAGTAGAACTTAGTTTTTCTTGGTTCAAAGTTGATTGAATTCTTACAATTTTTTTTCTCTTCGTTTTTTAGTTATTATTACATAGAACTTCCTAATGCATTCAAATATCCAAATTCTCTTCTCAAAAACATTTACACCAAAAGATTATTGCAAAAGAAAATAAAGGTGGTGTTTATATCCTGTTGATCATTGGAGATTTTTTTTCCAAATGCAAAAAAAAAAAAAATAATCTATTAACATTTCTTTAAACGCACAATAAAAATCGAACTTTTACTGTGTGTGAAATTGAAACAGAAAAAGCATTTATTTATAATAATTTTTATGTGAAAAGGAAGATAGTGTAGGGGGGGGTGATCAAAATATTATTTTCAGTATTTAAAGAAATTAAACTAGGTTAAGAAAAATGTTCATAAGAAGGTGGGGACCTACAGTAATAGCAGGAGTTATAAAAGTCCTTAGTTGCAAGAGTAAAGTGTCAGTTAAGTTCACAAGTTTGTTTAATGGAAAGAGTTGCAGAATGATTGTCATTTGTGGAAAACATTCAGAAGTAGTTACTGCTTTCAAAACAGTATCCTATACAGAACCGTCATTTAGCCTGATGTGCTCTTAACCAATTGAGCCACAGAGAATCGTTCGATTAGCAAGGTTGAATTTACTGCTTTTAAACTTTAATCTTGCTAATCGAACGATTCTCTGTGGCTCAATCGGTTAAGAGCACGTCAGGCTAAATGACGGTTCCGTATAGGATACAGGTTTGAATCCTGTCGGAGAACGAATATTTTCTATGGAAATTTTTTTGTACATTCAGGCCGGTAAATGTTGTTTAATACTGTTTATTATAAACAGAGCATTTACTTAAATATCTGTATCTATAAAAAGAATGTATAAACATAAAAATGTCTTAAAAATAATTGTTGGACTTTGTCCATTTCATAATGTATGAAATACACATATATATATTTTAACAACGTAAAAAATTTGACTTGCAGTTGTAAAAAAAAATTGCAAGAGAGTGACATGTTTACACAAAAACAATACCCTGCCCAATGGCAAAAGCTGCTAGTGACACCAGGGGTGGCAGTACTACCTCAGCCACCGAAACTGTGTTACCTCCCCTGGTTGGTCGCTGATGAAGGCAGAGTATTGTCTGTGTTTTCACATGTTGTATCTAGAAAAAATATATATATATATATATATACTCTATCCAACAAATGCAATCTTTCTGATCAGAATGGTACCAGAGTGAAAAGTATAAATGCTGAAGGAAATATATGTATGTTTCACAGACTATGCAATTCAAAAGAATTTGATAGGTTATAACACAATGATTTATTTGAACTACTAGGAAAACTTGGTTTATTTGGGAAAGATATTACAATAATCTAGAATGTTTACCGGGAACAACTGCCTGCATGCAGATGGAAAATGAATTGAGCAAGTACACAAAAATAGAAAGAAGTGTAAGACAAGGATGTATCTTCTCTCCAGATATATTTAACCTATGCAGTATGCTGAACCTAGGAGAAGTGGGTGTTCTACAAGGATTTATTATTGGTCAAAAATATCTTAACATAAGATATGCAGATGATACCACTTTAATGGCAGATACAGAAAGAAAACTGCAGGAGCTCATAGACAAGACACTACAACCCTCCACCCTCATACACACAGACACCAAAACAAAATAACCATGTGTTGTAAGAAGACAATGTATGGACATTAGATGTGAGCTTAAAATTGGAGACAACAGAATCAAACAAGCACAGAAATTTATCTATCTGAGAAGATGTAGGAATTTTTCCTGGTTGCGTGTGCATGTGTGTGCATGCTTGGTAGTAAGAGTGGAAAAAAAAAGGCTTGAAATAACTGTTTAACAGCTTTTATTTGTGGTTGAAAGAGAGGGTGAAATAGTGGTATTTTGTGGGAAAAAGAGTTGGGTTTCCCAGTTAAATTTCTTGAGCAGATGTTTTGTGGAGAGAGTTTTCTCCGACTGTTCCCATGAAAAGAACAAAAAATCTGAGTGTGAAATTGCAAGGTCTGGTATGCGTTTTATGCAGCAAGGGTTGTGTGTAGTTTTTCCTTTGGGAAGGTGTCTTAAAGAGACATTTCTCCACCTGTTCTTATGAGGAACAGAAAATCTAAGTCAAGCTACCAGGACAGACCTTGTGTCTTCTGCAGCAAGGGTTGAGTAGCCCTTCAAGCTAGGCCTTGAAGGTTGCAGCCACTGAAAAGGAAAGAGCTGGCCTTAAAGGTAGGGGCCACTGAAAAGGAAGGGTGGAAAAGAGGCCAAATAGGGCTTGGTCAGGGCTTTTATGATTTCTGGGACTTCCGGTTGTACCATACTGATTACTTCCGTTGCTGCTACTGCTGAATCAAGTAAAGTACGGAAGCTCCCACGTGCCACAATAGCCAAAAGTGAGATAGTTATTATAGTTATAATAGAAAACATAAAATGTGGCACAAAATCCAAAGGTACATTGGAATAACAAAAGGTGCGTTCCAAAACCTAAGCAAAGTATTAAGAAAAAGGAAAAATTCATTAGAAAGAAAGAAAAGACTGCTATGTAATATCAATCATCCTGTATAGCAGTGAATGCTGAACAATTTTCTCACATATGAACAGGAGACTTGAGGCAATAGAGGTGTGATTCCACAGAAGGATACTGAGAATGTCATGCAAGCAAAGAGGAAGTTTTAAGGAAAATGGAAACAAGAAGGACATATTTAAAAGTGACAGTAGACATTTCTGATACACATACTAAAGAAAGAGGGCTTGGAGAATTTGACACTCACAGGACATATTACAGGCCAGATAGGTAGAGGAAGAGTAAGTAACCTATCTTCCAAGTTTGTGTAAATAAATGGTAGAACAGAGACTATGAGAGATGGTGAGGTGGACAAAAATTGCTTAGAGCTACCAGGAAGTTGATTGCACATGTCCTGATGGAACATGGCACATAGAAAAAGATTAAACAGATAAATATCAATATCTTCTGTTCTTAATTATACATGCATATGAATGCATTATTTATGGATGTATTTAGGATAAACCATGACAAAGTTAAATACTTTCTTCAAATCAATTAAAAAATATGAATAATTATTTAAAAAGACTTTCATCTAATTTTAATAAATAAAAACACTAATAACAAATGTAGGTTAAGAAAATATTTTTGAAAATAAGTTGTTATATTTAATTAATAGGAAGTAAGATAAATTAGAGTAGCATAAAATAATTGTAGAATGAATTAAATGTGTACCTTGCAGACACTGCAACTGTAATAGCCTTGTAATTTTGTGACAAGCAATAATTCAATATTGATTTTTATTATTTTAATTAAACAAATATTTAGATGCTTAAGGTATTTGTTTAACTGGAGCATTTTGTTGCAAAACTCAAAGATTTTAATAGTATAGTTCAAGTCATCAAAATATTTCATGATAGCTCGGTTGTTGATATTCTGTATGAGATAAGATCAGTAATTGAATTCTTAATACCCTTGGACTTATGTTGTTCCTAATTTTCATCAATAACCTTCCAGATGTCATCAATTCTCAACTCAGTTGTTGGTTGGTTGATTGATTGATTTTGTTTAGTGGCATATCAACCTCTATAGGTTATTTAATGCCAGAATCTAAATATTTTGTACACAATTTTATGGTTTCCACCAAATAGATTTTGAATGCAATTTCATGCCTTCGATTACAGATAAAATGTATTGTTGGTCATTTTGTTATAAAAATATATTTTTATACTTTTATAGTGCTTGATTTGTTTTTGTTTTTATTTGGGGGGTTCAATATTTTCCCATAACTGG